GGCTTTGTTGTTCCATTTATAGAACACAGACAAAGTCGATTTAGCATCATTCTTAAGCTCCCTAGCATTTGAAAAAAAAAAAAAAAAAGCGAGAGAGAGACAGAGAGAGAGGTAATAAAAGAAGGTATTCCTATACAGCAAAAGAGACTTTTCTAAATTTAAAGAGAAGGGAAGATCCAATGCATGGTATAGGTTGGACAAACCAGCTACACAGGCCATTTAAGAAAAAAAAGACATTTATTCAGCGTCACAATCAGACTATTACATTTAGCAATCAACAGCATGGGTGCAAAACAAAAAAATCTACATTAAAACCCTTTGTTGGAATGTTTCACACTTTCCGCAGAACAGAAACTAAAATAACCTGTTATACAATTGGTCACAAATACAGTCCTCGAGTTTTTTGCCCATACACATAAGTATTTGTCTAAATCATGTCTTCTTTGTAACAGCGAGGCCCTGCCGCTACCGTGCTTGGCTGAGTTCACAAATCTGTTGTGACCTGTAGCTTCCCTGTCACTTCTCTGGCTCTCCTCTCCTGCTAAGCTTTGTTTCCTGATTAAAATGTTCTGCCACTGCCATAGCTGCTGCTGCTACTGGAACCACCATAGCCACCTTGGTTTCGTGGTTTGGCAAAGTATTGGCCGCCACCACCAGAGGGGCCAGAGCTTCTGCCTCCATAGTTTCTTCCCTTCATGGGTCCAAAATTTGAAAGCTGGTTGTTGTAATTGCCAAAATCATTGTGGCTTCCACCACCTCCAAAATTGCTTCCATCATTACCAAATCCATTATAGCCATCCCCACTGCCACCATATCCACCACCACCACGGCTGCCACCAAAGCCACCAGGACCACTGAAGTTTCCTCCACAAACAAAGTTGTCATTTCCACCAAAACCACCTCCACAACCACCACCAAAGTTTCCAGAACCACGTGGACCTCTCTGGCTGGATGAAGCACTAGCCATCTCTTGCTCTGACAGGCCTTCCCTAGCCTCACAGCCGTGGCCATTCACAGACGGTGTTTCTGAATGACAGTCTTACCCACAGAATCATGGTCATCAAAGGTTACAAAGGTTACAAGCCCCTTTTCTTGCCACTGCCTTGGCCAGTCATGATTTCTATCACTTCAATTTTTCCATACTGTTCAAAATAATCTCTTAGGTGATGTTCTTCAGTGTCTTCTTTAATGCCACCAACAAATATTTTTTTCACAGTTAAGTGGGCACCTGGTTTTTGAGAATCTTCTCTGAGACAGCTGTCTTTGGTTCCACAACTCTTCTATCCACCTTGTGTGGCCTGGCACTCATGGCTGCATCCAGCTCCTCCACAGTGGCATGTATGATGAGCCCAAAGCCCCTGGAGCACTTGGTGTTTGGATGTCTCATTATTACACAGTCTGTGAGCATTGCCAATTGCTCCTCAGGCTCTCATCAGTTGTTTCAAAGCTCAGCCCTCCAATGAAGAGCTTCCTCAGTTGTTCGGGATCTTTAAGAGACTTTGACTTAGACATGGCCACAAGAAGAGAGACTTTAATGATGTGCCTTCGGTGGTGTCCACGGGCAGAAAGGGACAACTGGGGAAATTTGAATCTCTAGTAGGCTTTTTATGATGTTAAGAAATTATCATCATTTTTGTTAGATGTTATAATACTTTGGCTATACATAATAAAGAATGTCATGATACCTTTAATCTATTTTAAAGTACAGAAACATTTTTAAATACTTTAAACAGTTAAGCATGTTTCAAAAATTTAGAAAGTGTTTAGACTTTTCTGTTTTCAAGCATTCTATAATTTTTTATGTTTATATATTATAGAAAGGACAAACTTTCTTTGACAGGTATATATTTATATATAAGGAAATATATGCACTTTCTATAATAAAAATGAATACACAGCTGGGCACAGTGGCTCATGCCTGTAATCCTATCACTTTGGGAGTCTGAGGAGGGAGGATCATTTGAGGCTGGGAATTTGAGGCTACAGGGAGCTATGATTGAGATACTGTCTCTAAAAACTAAAAATAAAATTTAAAAATATGCATTTATACTTAAACCCTTTTTAAGAAACAAGCAACCTAAAAATCAATGTGATTTAAACATGTCTTTAAGTACAGAAATAGCTATATGAAACATTACTAAGTCTATTTTTTTAGTCTTTGAGAATCATTACCAAATGATTAAAATAAAATAAGAAAAAGGAAACCAGAAAATAAAAATTAAGAAGTAACCAGAAAACAGCTAAAAGAGTTAAAAGTGACTATCTCTGGAAAACAAAATTGGGAGTGAAGAGAGATGAAGTGATGTGAGGGGTGTTTTTCTTTTAAAAACCTTTCAATGTATTTGAATTTTTTTTTTTTTTTTTGAGATGGAGTCTTACTCTGTTGCCCAGGCTGAAGTGCAGTGGCGCAATCTCATCTCACTATAGCCTTCATCTCCCAGGTTCAAGCAGTTTCCTGCCTCAGCCTCCCCAGTGGCTAGAGCAACTGACATGCACTACCACACCCATCTAATTGTTGTATTTTTTGATAGAGACAGGGTTTCAATATACTGGTCAGGCTGGTCTCAAACTCCTGACCTCAAGTGATTTGCCCACCTCGGCGGCCCAAAGTGCTGGGATTACAAGTGTGAGCCACCACGCCTGGCCTCAATCTATTTTAAACAAGTGTTTATATTACCTTGATTTTAAAATGTATTTGAATAATTTTGACAGTGTTTCTGAGGATCAGTACACATCCAAGTCCGACCTTCCCACCTGCCACTACATCTTAGAATTGAGACAGATATGGAGCAAGAGAAAGAGGGGTGGTGTCACATACCTTTAAACAACCAAATTTCAGGGCAACTCACTATCAGGACAACAACAAGGGCCATGGTGCTAAACCATTCAAGAGACCCGCCCATGTGATCCAGTCACCTCCCACCAGAGACCCCGCCTCTAGCACTGAGGATTACATTTCAACGTGAGGTTTGGGCAGGGACACAGATCCTAACCATATCACAGTGTTCTTAGGGGAGAAGCAGAGGAATGCCTTGAGAGCTTATTGCAAGGAATTTAATGCTCCCACTAAAAATACAGACCAGGCACCTCGAAGCCCTTTCTCTGGCCTACCCTCTTCATCTAGGTTGGCAATCCAAGAGCAAGTCCTGAGTCCCCAGGGATTTTGGTAGCTGTGCAAGAGTAAGGCCGTCACAGCAGAACTCATGATGCATTTACCAAGCACACTCTCTCTCCATTAGTGATGCAGTTCATGTTGCTTTGTTTTCCTGGTAAACTCTTAACAAGCTTTGCCTCCCAAGGGAATGCTGGGGGTGGGGGGCCCTTGGCGGAATTATTGAGATGGGATGACTTTATGAATAGCTCATCAGATAGGTCTAAGATAAGCTTGCTTCTAACCCTGGAATGTTGCACCAACTAATTCCAGGGAACCTGTTCAAATGAATCTAGAAAACCTAGATCACCTCTAGTCCTTTGAATTAGATGGATCGGGAAGGACCATTTAAGAAAATTGTGAAATTCTAACTTTAAGCGAAAAAAAATATGTGTATGTATCCTGTGCATCAGATCGGCATCACATTCTAAAATATGGGTTTTATTTATTTCAGAATGTTCTCATTGTTGAGGTAAGCTGGCATTTCCTCTTCTACACTTGGAGGTTGAAAGAATCTAACAGTGAGTAAATTGTAAGCCTTGTTATCAAATTGACCAAGGATTTCTTGAGTTCCCACTGGGTGTGTACTCTCCAAATTTAATGAATAGGGGCCAACTAGCATCCCTGGTTTCAAATAATGTAGAATAAAAGCTTTGCAACAATACTCGTGGACGACTTCATCCTTTTTTATATCCAGTTCCACATATCTCTGTGTTGATTTTTATACCTCTTTGTGAATCAGACAAGTTTAAGGAAGAAGAAACTAGCTCACCAAACCAAGTTCATTTCACAGTAAAAGCATGGTTAGAACTCTGTTTACCCTGAATTCAGTGTTTTTGCTAAGGGCATCTAATGATTTTGAGAATTCTCAAATACTTTCAACATCAAAATCGTAAACACAATCCATTAAAACTGGTGAGCTATGGGGAAAGCTATAGTTTTTTTGTTTTTTTTTTTCTTTTGTCTTTCTGTTAAAAAAGAGAGAAAAGACAACGTGGGAACCCTGTGGCAGTAGTGGACCAATACAGCAAATGGCTACATTTCCTTCAGGAGCACACTTGTCTCATCAAACTGCAAAAAATTCAGGGGAACTGTTTTCAAGCTTTTGTTACACCATTGCCTGTGTGTGCCATGTGTATCTGCAGTTCTTGCTCCATATAACCCACGGAGTAGGCCCTCTCACCAAATGAATTGCCCAGCCCTGGCTACATTCAGACCTGTTGTTTTGATAATCAGCTCGTGACAGCTGATTCCTGTCCTTAGGACAATAAATCGCCGCTGCCCATTCTCCTCTAATTGTGCAGCAGCTCATCAGCAGAGATGAGCCTGAGCTCACTGCAGCCGTGGACCCTCAGAATTCACAGGCTGTCACCAGCTGCTGTCCAGACACCTCTCACTTCCCAGCCATAGAATCCCCCATTGAGTGGAGGAGGACAAGGGGGAGGCATTTATCCATTCAGTGTATTCAGATGTACATAACCATGAAAATTCATGCGCCTTGTATTGTGTTACACAACCTCAGGGCCAAATTTAGTCCCTGACCGTGCATATACGAATCCAAACTAACTCAACGAGGAGTCCCTCATGCTGTCCAAAGGCTAAATTTGGCCCTTCCACACAGCTAAAGGATTCAAGGAGGAAAGAATCTCCAGTAGATTCCCCAAACTCAGCTTCCAGAAAGAACTGCCTGTCTAAATAAAACATAACCAACTCCTCCTCCTACTTGGACTCCAAATTGGATGGCATTTTTAATTACAATGCATTATTAATCAGGAGTATCTCCCTGGATGAAAAGTCTGTGATGCCGCTCAAATGCATTTTGTTGAATGTATCTGTCCTTTCTGCAAAGGATGTCGTTGGAACTGGGAGGACCATGAACGCACTCCTCAGCAGTATAAAGAAATACAAGCCTAACATGATTAAGGTAGCCAGGTAAGTCGGATATTCATAGCACGGTGATTTCTGCTTTTCCAAGCAATTCCAGAAGGGATGCTAACACAGGACGCTCTTTCCAAAGAGTATAATGTATTCCAAACTAGTGCCCTTTTCCCTTGGGGTATTACAGTTTGACCACACTGAAAAACAGCCCTTGACTGCTAGCCTGAGAGAAGAAAGGGAAGAAGATGTGCTTTGCCGTGTTTCTGGGTTCCTTCATTAGCTTTACTATGCCTTCATTAGCTGTTTCCAGGAGCAGCTGGATGAGCCTCCCTGCAATTGCTTTGCCCCCTGCTTTTTTTTTTTTTTTTTTTTTTTTTTTGAGACAGAGTCTCACTCTGTCACCCAGGCTGGAGTGCAGTGGCACAATCTCGGCTCGTTGCAACCTCCGCCCGCTGGGTTCAAGCAATTATCCTGCCTCAGCTTCCCAAGTAGCTGGGACTACAGGTGCCCACCACCACACCCAGCTGATTTTTTATATTTTTAGCAAAGATGGGGTTTCACCTTGTTGGCCAAGCTTGTCTTAAACTCCTGACCTCGATTATCTGCCCACCTCAGCCTCTCAAAGTACTGGGATTACAGGCATGAGCCACCGCATCTGGCCCTTTTTTTTCTTTTGTTAAGAGACAGGGTCTTGCTCTGTTGCCCAGGCCAAGCTGGAGGGCAGTGATTGGATCATATCTCACTGCAGCTTCAAACTTTTGGACTAAAGTCATCCTTCCACCTGAGTAGCTAGGACAGCTACGTTTTTTTCGTTTTTTTTTTGAGGGGGGGGACAGAATCTTGCTCTGTCACGCTGCTGGACTGCAGTGGTGCAATTTCGGCTCACCGCAACCTCAGCCTCCCAGGTTCAGGTGATTCTCCTGTCACAGCCTCCCATGTAGCTGGGACTACAGATGCACACCACCACAACCAGCTAATTTTTGTATTTTTAGTAGAGACTGGGTTTCGTCATGTTGGCCAGGCTGGTTTCAAACTTATGAGCTCAAGTGATCTGCCCTCCTTGGCCTCCCAAAGTGCTGGGATTACAAGCATGAGGCACCCTGCCTGGCTGACAGCTACCTTTAAAAATTTTTTTTTAATATTTTATTTATTTTTTGAGATAGGGTTTCACTCTGTCACCTAGGCTAGAGTGTAGCAGTACAATCATGGCACACTACAGCCTTCAACTCCTGGGCTGAAATAATCCTCCCACTGCAGCCTTCCAAGTAGCTGGAACTATAGGCATGTACCACCATACCCAGCTAATTTTTAAAATTTTTTTGTAGATACAGGGGTCTCACTATATTTCCCAGGCAGATCTTGAACCTCTGGGCTCAAGTGATCCTCCTGCCTTAACCTCCCAAAGCACTGGGATTACAGATGTCGCCACTGTGCCTCATCTGCTGTCTTCTTTTTATCCAGAACCATCTATATAGTGCCACAGTAGCGAATTGTATTTCAAGTATATATTTTAATGATGCTTGATTCTATTTACAGTTCATAGAGATTTGATTGGGTTCACTAAAGCACTTCTTTTTTAATGGTAGTTTGTTGGTGAAGAGACAACCCAGAAGTGACGGCTTTAGACCTGACTGTAAGTGTTTTTTTGGTTTTTTGTTTGCTTTATGCTTGTATTGTTTCATTTTATGTTTAGGAATCTTTGGTTTCCTATTTGACAGCATTGCATGTGGAGTGGAAACTGCGTTGGGCCGACAGTCCCACAGATTCCTCATGGTCTCCCCAACCCTTGTAGGGAAAACAGAACCCTTTAAAATGAGGGTCTTCAATGTTCTAATTTGCATCTTTCACAGGAACTCTGTTCTGTGCATTGGGTGTTTTTATTTGTATGTTTCACACAGCACCTTCACTGCAGAGAAGGCAGCTGAAAAGTTTCAGGGAGTAGAGAAAGACCTGATTCCCCTGAACTGACTCAGACACATAGCATCCCACCTTGGCCTCTGTTCTCACCAGTCAGACAAGGAGAGGTGCTCTAGGGGTTTAGAGGGATTCTCATGCCATCATCAGGAACGTTACCAGACAATGCACAATGGTGACCTTTAGCAAGCCTGAATTTTAATGCACAGAAGGGGAAATCTAAGACAGCTTCCCAACACCTCCAAACCAAAGCTCCGTTAACACAGAGAATTAGCAGAGCAGATATCTCTAGATATAATCTTCACACTTGACTTCAGACGTGTGTTCTGCAGGGCTTCCTCATCTAGGACACTCTCCTCCCTTCTCCCCATAATAAGCCCAGTTCTAACACCGGGAAAGGTAAACACGCAGCCTGATTATTTATTATTCTAACACTAGAGGCGATTTTTTTTTTCACTTGCATAGGCAGACTTCAGCTTGATTTTTATAACTTACATTGGCTCCAAAGCCCCTGGGACAATTTGGCTACAGTTCTCTTCAGCAAGCTGAACAAACATTAGCGAAAGAGAGGCACAGTATGGATGGGTGACAGGCCAGCGACATTTAGCCAGTGACCCTACATTCTAAAAACAAGTTTCATTCGTGTGCTGGATGTGTTCACTCTAGACCATGTCAGTTCTGGGCAGAGAGACCCAATTGCATGTGTTACTAGTATCAAAGGTATAATCTGGATGAAGTGAAGGTTGCATGAGGTTACTAAGCAGAAACTGTCTAAGGAAATAGTACAGGATACTCAATGTATAGATAAGATTTTAACTGAAGTTGAAAAACATTTTCTTCAAACATAACCGATTAATGACAAATTTCTTATATCACTTATAATAACAACAGTAATAAAAGAATAGCAGCTAACACTAAGAAGGGTTTTGATGTGCCAGGCTATTCTAAGAGCTATACAGAGATGAGCTCATTTCATCTTCACAATAGCTCTCTAAAGGTAGGAGCTATTGTTATACTTATTTTACATATGAGAGGTGAATTTTACATACACAGTCAGCTTCGCTTGCCAAGGTCTTGTAGCTGTGTCAGGCGAGTATTAAGCCCAGGCAATCTGGTTCCAGTCACTGCCCTGACTCTTGCACTAGATCTGCAAGTAACATGTGCTATTTCAAATGTAAGCGCAGGAGCTGCCCGCATTTCCCAGCTAAAGATAGGTCACTTTGATTCCTGATTGTCCTACTGATCCATCATCCTTTTCTGCTATGACATTGCAAGGTTTGGTCTTCTAAATAGGCGCTGGGCTCTCATTTTCCCAGTGTGAGTTGCCTTGCCTAATGGAAGGATTGCATTGCTCCCTGTCAAGTCATTATTACAACCCTGCTTACAAACAGGGTTTCCTGGGATTTGCTCATATATTTTTTTTTCTTTTTCTTTTATTTATTTATTTATTTATTGAGACGGAGTCTTACTCTGTCGCCCAGTGCAGTGGTGTAATCTCGGCTCACTGCAACCTCCACCTCCAAGGTTCAACCAATTCTCCTGCCTCAGCCTCCCAAGCAGCTGGGACTACAGGCACCCGCCACCACGCCCTGCTACTTTTTGTATTTTTAGAAGAGATGGGGTTTCACCCTGTTGGCCAGGCCTGTCTTGAACTCCTGACCTTAGGTGAGCCATCCACCTCCGCCTCCCAAAGTGCTGGGATTACAGCCATAAGCAACCACGCCCACCCTTTTTTTTTTTTTTTTTGAAATGGGATCTCACTTTGTTGCCTAGGCTGATCTTGACCTCCTGGCCTCAAGCCTCCTGCCTCAGCCTTCTGAAGAGCTGGGACTGCAGGTGCACCCCCGGCTTCATATTCTTTAGCTCAGAGTCTCTGTTCCTTCTTTCTCTCTGGATTTATGAGGCTTTGTACTTTGTGTTCCTTTCTCCTGAGTCTTCATTTTATGCTCAATGTAACTTCTGACCTCTTCTGCTCTTGCTTCTTCTCTCTGATTCTTTTTTTCAAGAAACTCTGCAGTTTGGAGGAATCGAACAGGCTTCCTGGGAAGGGGCTCCATAATGCAACCCCCTAGAAAATAAGACCTTCACCTCCAGTACTTTCTGTAGGCAGGAACAGCTGTTTTCTTCTTGTGAAAGCATCGTTGGTCATAGTCACCATGGAGATAACTTTGCCCAGGTACAGTTCCATTCAAAGTAAGCAGTTAAATCTCTCAACTATAATGCTGTAATAAACAAACTTGTAAGATTCCAAAACATTGAAAAAGTTTGAAAATCATTGGACCAATGCCCCTTTATTCTGTTTCAAGACCTCTGAAGAAGGAGAGCTATCATCTGTTCCTTAAGAATTCTCACCAGTAAGTATTAGCCAGGCATAGTTGTGCATGCCTGTAGTCCCAGCTACTTAGGAGGCTGAGGTGAGAGGATCAGCTGAGCCTGTGGATGTAGAGGCTGCAGTGAGCCATGATCACACCACTGCACCTCTGCCTGAGCAACAGAGTGAGACCCTTTCTCAAAAATAGCCAAGTGCACTGACTCACACCTGTAATCCCAGCACTTTGGGAGGTGGAGGCAGATGGATCACTTGAGGTCAGGAGTTTAAGACCAGCCTGGCCAATATGGTGAAACCCTGTCTCTACTAAAAATACAAAACTTAGCCGAGCATGATGCCTCATATCTGTAATTCCAGCAACTCGGGAGGCTGAGGCAGGAGAATTGCATGAATTCATGCCACTGCACTCCGGCCTGGGTGAAAAAGCAAGACTCAGTCTCAAAGAAAAAAAAAACAAAAAAAGAATCCTCTCTGATAAAAATCATCATCTTTTCAGTGAATTTTTCTTTTGCTTATTGTAAGTACCTTGAACTGTGCATAAATCCATTTCCTCTCATTCTGCCCTTGATAGAGAGCTCATTAATGTCCTCTGCACCATGAACCCAAAGACCAACATTAATGTAAACTTCACATTCTCTTCCTCAAGTTGAACAATCCCCTTGCCTTTCATCTTTTGTCCAGGTTTTGCTTTCCAGCCCTTTAAACAGCCAAGACACTGAGTACAGCGGGATAATTGCTTTCTAGTTGCTGTGGCCCGCGCACCTGTTCACATAATGCAGCATCGTAACGCCTTCGGCTTGAACTTTCCTTTGTGTTGTTGCGAGTGTTTCCTTTGGCATCGTATCACTGCAAACTGCTTGCTTTAGAACACCAGGGCCACGTGACTCACTTATGCATATTTCTTGTTATGCACTGGGCTTCCTGAGGCCTTTCTCAACTCTACACGCTGGATCAGTCATTCTTCATTGTAGGCTGGCTTGTTTGCCTCCCCTCCTTCCTCCCGAGTAAGTACTCCTTCTGGTCCAGGTTTCTCTTGGGCTCATCCTGTGCATTGCTCACCATTTCTCACTCCCTCCTGCCTCAATGAAAGGTCCTCGAGTTTGAGTGCCGACAGCAGCATATGGTGCATTTATATAATCTAAATTTTGTTCCTTTTTTTTTTGTTCTCTCTCTCTCTGCTAAGACGCTGGATTTGAGATTCCAAACTTATTTGTGGTGGGATATGCCTTAGATTACAACGAATACTTCAGAGATCTGAATGTAAGTCTTGCATGCAAACCCTAACCCCCCTTTTTATAAGAACTTAACAATTGAATAAAGTATTGAATGCGAGCTAGTGATGTCTGCTATTGATCATCTTCTGTGTCAGGACTATGTGAGCACATTGCATCCATACTTCCAATTAAGTTCCACTACTATTCTGCAAGGTAGGTATGAGGATGATGGAGGCAAATTACGATTATCTCTGTTTTGTGCTAAAGACATAGGAAGCTAAAAGCAGAACCATGGTTTGACACTGATTCTTCTCCATAGTCATTGACTGTGCCCAACCAACCATAACAATAGCCAATATTCTCTACACTGGTTTGTGTTTGTGCTTGAACTCTAGCGGGTTTCAATTACAGTGGCATGCAGCTCATAACGGTTCCCTCTTTGGGGTAAATGATCTCAACACGCAAATGTGGATCCCCAGTGTGGACCCCAGCTGTGTGACCCCGACCAACACTGCATGATCTAGAGGTAGACAGCTTACCCAAAGTGGACCAATCAGTCTCTCTGTCTCCTGGAAATTAGAAACTTAAACCAAAAGTCACAGAGACTGAGCGTGTTCAGACTTCAGCCACTAGGATGGCACCATGGGCGAAAGCCTCTGGAGTTGCCCTTGTTCCTGCCTTCTAGCTGCTTCATTGCCCAGCTCATCCTTGGATTCTGAGAGCTACCCCTGTATTCTACCAATAAATTCCCCCTCCCCCCTTTTTAAAGGCACAGGGTCTCGCTCCAGGGTCTCAACTAGGCTAGAGTACAGTGACTCAGTTATAGCTCACTACAGCCTTGACGTCCCAGGCTCAAGCAATCCTCCCACCTCAGCCTCCTGAGTAGCTGGGACTGCAGGTACACACCACTATGCCTGGCTAATATTTTTACTTTCTGTAGAGACGGGTTCTTGCTATGCTGTCCAGGCTGGTCTCGAACTCCTGGCTTCAAGCGATGTTCCCACCTCAGCCCCCCAAAGTACTGGGTTTACAGATAGGGACCACCATATCCAGCCAGATCCTTCTTTTTTGCTTACATTAGCCTGGCCCCTTTTCTGTTGCTTTCAATCAAAATATTCCTAACCCATTTCTTGTTGCCCAAAAAGGGTTGAATAAGAGCCCACGTTGTGCTTGCCACTGTTATTTCTCCATTCACCCAAGAAGTTGTCATCTTACCAGTAGGAGACTTCTGTTTCTAGCAGGGCTAAACATACTGCTCCTTCAGCATTTCTGGGTTTTAGGGACCTGGGGAGCCAGCTTCAGAATAGGGCTCCAAACTAAAACCACAAAGAACCTTTTGTCAAGCATTTGAATGGGTCTCTTTAGATTTTACCCACACATATAAATACACACATTTATATTTAAATGATCAATAGCCAATTACAGGATGGTATTTGTTTGTTACTGCATCACATTTTCTGTGTCTCATATTTTCTAAAGAAACTGATGAGGGCTTTATTGTTTCAGCACATATGTGTGATCAACGAGCACGGTAAAGAAAAATATCGAGTCTAAAAACATGAATTCTCAGCACCGAAGTCCCGGATACCATCATACATACGACTGTACTCGGGAAGCCAGCTGTCAAGTTTGTCTCCCCAGGCGTCTTCACTCAGCAGGATATAAAAGAAAAAAATGTTCTAATGAGAGCGCTTTCTTTTCTGAGGTTAATATAAAGAGTATCAAAGGTTTTTAAGGAAAAGAAAGCAGTGCTTTTATTTGACTTGTTCCAAACTAAACACTCCGCCTTGTGACTCAGCAATACTCTCTACGTTGGAACTCCTGAGCTCCGCCTTCCTTTGTTTCGATTCAGTCATTATGTTTGATTACTATTCCCAGGAATACCCCCACCTAGTTACTCAAATATTTTTCACTTAACTTTGTATACTCTATTTCGGTAATAAGCTTACAATATTAAGAAGCTGGGGACCTTTTTTTTAACTGAAGCCTTGAGCCCCATATAGCAGGAATGCAACTACTAATAGATTCCTGTATTTTAAGAGGAGGGAAAGGACAATTTAATATAAATTTCTGTTTGCGCATTTCTGACAGGCCGTTATTATCCTCTTTGACAAAGCCTTTCTGAAACTCAGTGTACAATGAATCTTAATGATGTTATGAAACGGGTTTTGCTCAGGGCTCTTGATTGGAGCTTCCGGTATGTGACGACAGTATGTCATGTATGCATGGATGTAGTCAACTGTGTTTAATTCTCTGAATTTTAATTAGAAAAAAATACAATAGCAGCAAGGCCCTGGTTTCTAAGCTGTATCCTTTTATTCATATGGGACATAAGCAAATGGCAGAATTAAGGGCGAGTGCTTTCAATGCTCCAAACTAAGCAAGTATAAATTTTTCCTCTTATTTGCATGAAAGGACAAGACACTGCTATGTTCCACCATAAATGTGAAGACAGAGGATGAATTATTTTTTAAAATATCTTTAAAAGACTGATCACAAAATCCAAAGTGCTACAAGGAACAAGCATACTTAAGAAAGTTTTTCCTGAATCACATTTTTCCCAATTTCTCCGTTTTATGAGACATTTCCTAATTCATGGGGATTTTAATTGAAAATAAACGTGAGTGCCAATAGAGCTGGTTTCTTTTCACTTCCTACAAAATGCAAATGCAAAATAAATAACTAAGCAGCTTTTGTTTGGTTCTGAACCGTATGTGGCGTATTGTTATTAGGTTCTAGCTTCCTTTAAACTAATAAAGAATAAAAAAAAATTTTTACGTTTTATCGCTGCTGTTTTTCTTCCTGCCTTCATATTTTTAAAACACTTTCAGCCATTATAATGTATGTGAGTCAGTAGCTTAAATATACGACTGCCTGTACCTATCCAGTGGCTTTATTTTTGTTAACTTGGATGAACTCCAATATATGCACTAGTATAACCAAATGATTAAGCCTGGCTAAGTCTGCTGCCTTTCTTCTCACTAAGCTTGTTTGTAAGAACAAAGAATTTTAGTTGTAAAGGAAGATTTTCCTGCATATCTTTGTTTAAGTCAGAGAAGAAAACAAGCCACACCCCGATATCCCAAGGGATAAGTCAGCAAACAGACTCTCTTCTAGCTTTGTTTCACAGAGGCATTGGTACCCAAGTTTAGCTTTATAATTGTGTCTGACTGGCAAATTTCTTGAAATATCAAAATTAATATTCTGAACATAGTTTTGGTTTTTTTGTTTTTTTGTTTTTTTGTTTTTTTTCACAATACCATGTATATGTCAGAGGACCTAGAAAAAAAATCCAGTCACACATTTGGTTTTAAATGTAAAATTATCCATAAAGTATACAGTATGAAAATGTTTTCTTAAAAACGTTGAATTTTAGTAAGTTTTAGTATCCTTTCTGAGGAGAGTCTGTTTACTCAAATTAGAAAGGAAATTGATCTACTTCACAAGAATGTGAAGACTTGTATGGTTAATGCTGAAAATTCACTAAAGACACAAGAAGTTTAATCATGCTTGCAATTTTTTCCTACTAGACAATATTTTAACAGTGATATCCAAGGAAGTCATCTTGGGAAAAATAATATTTCCTTTTCTCTTGCAAAACTCCTGTCTAGTTAATACCACCAAGTTTATTCACTCTTAACCAAACATGCAAAAACTTATTACTTGATTAACAACAAATCCATTATGAATTTAGTGTTCCAAAGCTGATTTGTAAGGCGGAAAATGCCTGAGTTTGTGTGTGTGTGTATGTGTGTGTGTGTGTGTGTGTATGTGTGTATTTCATTGGGAAGTTTGGATTCAGTTATAAACAACATAATTAGTAATACTCTGGGATTTTCCAAACAAATTAGAACCCCTCATTATAAATGGGTCTTTTCTTACAGGGACTGGAATGTGCTCATTGCTGACCCACGGACCCCCTAGATGTAAATGGCAAATAGTCAAATCCCAACGTACCTTGTTTAATTTTTGCATATAAGATGGTTTGCCATGTTCCAGGCCTTTTGAGACTGTGAAAACAGTCTTTCAGAGCACAATCAGGCATTTGAACAGCCGCCTGTGAAATCATCTTGTGTTTTCTCAATGGAGAGAAAAAGCAGGCTATCCTACGTCTAGAGACCCGGTGTCATGGAAATACGCCCTCCCTTTTGTAATAGAGGTAGTGTGTTCTAGGAAATCGAAACCCAAAACCATGCTCTCCACCCAGTTGTCTGACTAATTTGGGCAAACTTAGCATTTGGGACTTTTACTGACTTTGCAATCATGAAGCTTCTCTGGATCCCAAGATGACACTTGAGAGCTGCCAATAAGCTAGTTTCAGGAAGGGAAGAAGGGGATCCCAGGAGGAGCCTTTGCACGCTGCTGACAGGAGGTATTCAGAGATGGGAAGAGGGTGGCTCACACCTGTAATCCCAGCACTTTGGGAGGCCAAGGCTGGTGGATCACGAGGTCAAGAGTTGAAGACCAGCCTGGCCAAGATAGTGAAACCCTGTCTCTACTAAAAATACAAAAAAAAAAAAAAATTGCCAGGCACAGCGGCAGGTGCCTGTAATCCCAGTTACTCTCGAGGCTGAGGCGGGATAATCACTTGAACTTGGGAGGCGGAGGTTGCAGTGAGCAGAAATCGTGCCACTGCACTCTAGCCTGGGCAACGGAGCAAGACTCTGTCTAAAAAAAAAAAAAAAAACAGTTGTATTCATGGTTATCTTTGTGCTGTTTAGTGAAGCTGACAGGCCAGCCGCTCTGCATATTTCATTGAGGAGCACAGGGAAGCTTTGGGGTTGGAAGAAGCAGAAAAGTAGCTCCGTGCTAGCATCCCAAGCTCTACAGTTTGGGGAGCACTGTGGATGAACGGGCACTTCCCAAGATGCCAACCTCCAGAGGCGTCAAGCACCACAGACATCCACAAGGAGACCAGAAGTCACGTGAGAGAAATGTGGATAGACAAGCTCCAAAAAGCTCAGAGCACCCCAGAAACCCAGTTATGGCAATAGCTTGTGCACCCGCACTACTGGTGCCCTCACAAAGACATCAAGCCAAAGGGAGCCGTGGACCCTGGCTGACCACTGCATCAGCCCTCAGGAAGATGTGCCTTTTCCTAAAAAGACGGTCTTTTTCTAGTCCTCTCAGAAAGATAGGTTTTTGCAATTTCTCAGCCAGGAGGGAGTAGCTTTTTAAGACAGGGTGGGGTGATGAAGCCCTATATTGCCCAAGTGGGAGAAAGAAGCCTGAACTAAGGTTACCGTGACCTCCTTTGCATCCAGAGCCTAGTGAGGCTGGAACAGAAAGCTGTGAGTGAGGAAGTTGTTAAGGAGCCACTCAAGAAGCCTGGCTGTGAAGAGAAGAAGATGTATACAGTCATAGCGGGCAGGCTTTTAAAAGATGGGAGATTCCTGTGAACTCACTTGGGAAAAAAAATGATGCGAGAGACTTGCAAGTTTTTATTTGCTGTAGAGAACAGCCACAAAAACCAGGGGAAGTGTATTCCTTGTTAATTGGGGGTGGGGGTTGAGAGTGTCTCTTGCCTGTCTTTGGGAAGCTGAGGTGGGATAATCACTTGAGGCCAGGGGTTTAAGACCAACCTGGGCAACACAGCAAGACCCTATCTCTACAAAAAAAAATTTTTTTTAATTATCCGGGGGTAGTGGCAGGTGCCTGTAGTCTCAGCTACTCAGGGGATGAGGTTGGGAGGATTGCTTGAACCCAGGAGTTCAAGGCTGCAGTGGGCTATGATCATACGACTGCACTCCAGCCTGGGCAACAGAGCAAGACCTTGTCTCTAAAAAATAGTAAATAAATAAATAAGTAAATGTTGTTGATTGCTTTGTAGCAAATTACTCCAAAACTGAGTAGTTTAAATCAACAGTAATTAGTTACTCTCTTTAATGGTCGACAAGAGTTAGGAATGCAGAGAAGGCATACCGGAGGTAGTTTGCTTCTGCTCAGTGATGTGTGGTGCTTCAGATGGAAGACTCCAAGGCTGATGGCTGCAACCAACGTAAACTGAACTGCACAATGTGACAGCAATTATGCGGTTATTTAAATTAACTAAAGTCAAGTAAAATTTAAAATTTACTTCCTCGTTTACACTAGCTATGTTAGAACTGCTCGATGACCGGATGTGGTAGTAAGTTATCAACCATATTGGACAGTGAAGACATAGAACATTTCCATTATCACAGAATGGTTTACAGAAAGCTGTAGTCAGAAGGCTTGTTTTGGTCTAGTGATTAATGTTAGCTGTTAGCTGGAACCTTAGCTGAGGCTGTCAGTTGGAACTCTAACATGTGGTCTGGGCTTCCTCATAAAATGGTGGTTGGGTTCCAAAGTGGAGGGAGACAGAAGAAGGTGGAAGCCATATTGTCTTTTACATAGCAGGCTCACTTCCATCGTATTCTGTTAGTCAAAGCAGTTACAAAGTTTTGCCTGGGTTCAAGGGGAGGGAACACAGACTGGCATCACTTGATGGAAGAACAGCAGCATCATATTATAAGAAGAGCAAGTCGAATAAGATGTATATTGATGGTGATCTACAGAAAATACAATCTGACACAGAAAAGTTATGTGCCCTTCACATGTTATTTTTTTAAAAAATTATTTTCTTTTTATTTTGTACAGAGATAGGGTCTCACTAAGTTGCCAAGGCTGGTCTCCAACCCCTGGCCTCAAGTGATTCTCCCACTTTGGCCTCCCAAAGATGTGTACATTTTCTATTAATACAATTACTGAAGGAGTTGATTATTCAGTGGTCATAATATGTAATTATGAAAACAAGCCTACTTGCATAGATTTTATAATTACAGAATACTATCTAGGAGATGACAGAAAGAACACGAGACAGTGTGCACACATACATGTTTGCCTACTGATAGTGTTTGGAATAGATTATGAAGACATTAAAAGAGCAGATTTCGGCTGGGTATGGGGGCTCACCCCTGTAATCCCAGCACTTTGGGAGGCCGAAGGGGGTGGATCACCTGAGGTCAGGAGTTTGAGACCAGCCTGGCCAACATGTCGAAACCCCATCTCTACTAAAAATACAAAAATCAGCCAGGCAAGGTGGCATGTGCCTGTAATCCCAGCTGCTCAGGAGGCTGAGGCAGGAGAATCACTTGAACCTAGGAGGTGGAGGTTGCAGTGAGCCAAGATCGCACCACTGCACTCCAGCATGGATTACAGAGTGAAACTCTGGCTCAAAAAAAAAAAGAAAGAGCAGATTTATTTCTAAGTTGTGTAAGTTTGCAATGTGGAAAAGTTTAGGAAAATAGTTTTTGCTTGTCTGCTTGTCAAGCATTCTGTAAGTGTAAACTCATACTGAAATTTTAGTAGCACTTCTATTTTTATAGAAAGAAATTGCATAATAATTTGGGCAAGAAACTAATCCAGAGTGGGTCTTCCTTAAATACAATAAATGTAACTGGGTGAACTGAACCCAATATAATATTATATTTAATGTTATACCTGGAAACAGTAATCCCCAATCAATTAATAAACATTTTAAAAACACCAGATTATTGACAACTAACAACACAGTTTTACAATGAAAATTGCTCTATCTAATTTCTCTAATCTCCTAATATTGAGTGGTAGAGTTGGTTGACTGAAAAAAGAAATGGATGTAATCTGTTTTATCTTTATTTTAACAAGTTTGTGCCCTGTGAAGAATATTCTTCATTGCCTGAGTAATTAACTTATACTACATAGCTCCTGGGTGACTGCACAAATCTTTATAGTTGTACTCAAAAGAGATCTGTCCTGAGCATAGTGAAGCATATTGGAAAAGA